TCATGCCCACGGTGGTGGAGAAGGCGACGAGCAGGAAACTGCCCCAGGCACAAAGGATGCAGAGCGCCACCCGCGGGCTGGGGGGGAAAGACAGGGTCAGCACGGGTCACCCCCAGCCCCCCACGGGCTGGGGGCAGAGACAGGGCCAGCACGGGTCACCCCCAGCCCCCCACAGGCTGGGGGCAGAGACAGGGTCAGCACGGGTCACCCCAGCCCCCCCCGGCCCCCCACGGGCTGGGGGCAGAGACAGGGCCAGCACGGGTCACCCCCAGCCCCCACAGGCTGGGGGCAGAGACAGGGCCAGCACGGGTCACCCCCGCCCCCCCACGGGCTGGGGGCAGAGACAGGGTCAGCACGGGTCACCCACAGCCCCCCACGGGCTGGGGGCAGAGACAGGGTCAGCACGGGTCACCCACAGCCCCCCACGGCCCCCCACAGGCTGGGGGCAGAGACAGGGCCAGCACGGGTCACCCCCAGCCCCCCATGGCCCCCCACAGCCACCCACGGGCTGGGGGGAGACAGGAGGGTCCATGTGGGGAACCAGCACCACCCCCAAACCCAACAGCCCCCCAACATCCCTCCCCCAATACCCCAGCCCCCCCCACCGCGCCCCCCACTCACCCATAGGGCACGCGGTGGATGTAGAAGGGGGCGCTGAATTTGATGAGCAGGGTGGGCAGGATGTCAGCCAAGAGCACAGCCTGGTGGGGGGAACAATTACGGGGGGGGGGTTAGAGACAAGGCTAGCCCCTGCCCCAGGCCATGCCCCTCCAGCTCCCAAGGCCCTGCCCCCACAGCACTTACCCCAGTGGAGATGGGGTTGCAGTCGTAGCGGGAGGTGTTGGACGAGTTTCCGCTGGGGGGTGTCACCGGGGGAGTCTGGGGGCAGGAGACACAGTTACTGGGGCAGATGCTGAAGATCCCACCCCCCCACCCCACCCGGCCCTGGCACGAGGGACCTCTGTACGGCAACCCCCAACCCTGGAGGAGGAGGGAGAGCCCCAGGGGTCAGCCCCACGGACGGATTCCTCCAAGGGACTGTTGCAAAGCTGGGGGTGCAGCACCGATCCTGTGTGTCCATGACAGCCCCCCCAGGCTGAGCTCTCCACACCCCCACACCCTGCCCCCCTGCAGCCCCCCCAGGCTGTCCCCACTGGTGAGCTCTCCCCCCCCGCACCCCGCTGAGCTCTCCTTTGCACGGCTGTTTGCACAAGGATCCGCTCACCAGCGCTCGTAGAGCCTTGGGGGCAACCCTGGTGCCCTGCCCCCAAGGACGGACCTGGGCAAGGGGGTGTCTCTGTGCTACCTATCCCCCCCCGCCCCCCGCGTGGGCCCACCTGGGTGGTCCCGTTGATGTCCAGCGCCCCCTGGCGGCTCAGGATGTCATGGGCCGCGCTCAGCATCACCACGTAGGCAAAGTTATTGCAGAGACCCAGCAGCCTGTGGGGCCGGGGGGGGGACGACAGAGGAGGGGGGTTAGAAAGAGGCCAGAGCCCCCCCCATCTGCATGGCCCCAGGGGAGCGTGGAGGAGCTGAGGGAGACCCGGGCGGGCAAGGCTGCGGCCGTGCGAGCCGGGGGACGTGAGATGCTGAGTGTGTTCACGCCCAGGCAGCGAGCGTGCGAGGGTGTTCCAGGGCGGGGTGAGTGCACCTGGCAGCGAGTGTGCAACGCACATCAGGGGGTCGAGATGTCCACCGGCGCAAGCGTGGCCGCGGGCATCTGGCGTGAGAGGCAGGGCAGTGAGGAAAGAAAGGCCCCGGGACAGGGACGGGCCAAGGGAACGTGCGTGCGAAGGCCCTCGTGCAAGGCGACTCACCAGAAACCGGCTGAGTTCCGCCAGCAGGCGGCGTGGGCGGGAGGCAACACCGGTGGGTCCTCATCTGTAGGGGGAGAGGGGGAGCGTCAAGGGGCAGAACCGGGGCTCGGGGGGGCGTGGGGGGGAACGAAGTACAGTTTTCCCCTTGTTATGTTGTACGTGACCCTTAATGTTTTGCGTGAAGACGGTGCGTGCCTCAGTTTCCCCTCGGTGTCACTCAAGTGTCTTGGGGCTGGACAAGGGCGTGTGGCGCGGCAGTGACCCCAGGGCAGGGGGGGCTGCGGCTGGCTGCCCGCTGCCCCACACGCGCTCTCGCCTGGCAGGGAAGGGGCGGGTCAGGGGCTGGCGAACAGAGGTGGGGCCAGGGGACCCATTGGCCCAGGGACAGCGGGGGGGGGCAGTGTCGGAGGCTGGGCTGGTGGAAGCTGGGGCTGGGGAGGAGTCCAGGGCACCGGGCTCACAGTCCCCCCGAGATGGGCTTGGCTGAAAGTCCCTGATGCCCCGGCCCGTGTCACCCGCCGGCTGCCCACGGGGGGACTCGCTGCGGGGAGCTCACGGGGTGCACGGGGGGCTGGACGCTCCGCGCCCGGGACAGCGAGTCCCCCAAGTCCTGGCTGCGCCTCCTGCGGGGGGGCAGATCCTGGGCTCACGGGGGGCAGGGGGCCAGACCCGGGGGCTCGGGGGGGGGCAGATCCGGGGGCTGGACCCAGGGCTCGCGAGGGGCGGAGCCAGGGGGGGCCTGCGGGGCGGGGCCGGACCCGGGGGGCTCGCGGGGGGAGGGGCGGGGCCGGACCCGGACCCGGGGGGGCTCGGGGGGGGGGGGGGGGGCCGGACCCGGGGGGGGCTCGCGGGGGGGAGGGGCGGGGCCGGACCCGGGGGGGGGCTCGCGGGGGGGGGAGGGGCGGGGCCGGACCCGGGGGGGGGCTCGCGGCGGGGGAGGGGCGGGGCCGGACCCGGGGGGGGGCTCGCGGGGGGGAGGGGCGGGGCCGGACCCGGGACCCGGGGGGGCTCGCGGGGGGGGAGGGGCGGGGCCGGACGGGGGGCGGGCGGGGGAGGGGGGGGCCGGACCCGGGGGGGGCTCGGGGGGGGGGAGGGGCGGGGCGGACCGGGGGGCGGGGGCCGGACCCGGGGGGGCTCGCGGCGGGGGGGGGCGGGGCCGGACCCGGACCCGGACCCGGGGGGGGGCTCGCGGGGGGGGGAGGGGCGGGGCCGGACCCGGGGGGGGGCTCGCGGGGGGGAGGGGCGGGGCCGGACCCGGGGGGGGGCTCGCGGGGGGGACTCACCCTCCGAGTCAGACAGACGCCGCCAACCCTCCGGCTCCATGGTGGGGGGCGAGTCGGGCACTGGGGGCGCTGCCGGGGCGGGGACTCGCCTGAAACGCCAGGGAGGGGGTGACCGGGGGGGCTGACTCCTCCCCCCCCGTCCGATCCCCCCGCCCCCAGCGGCCCCCCCGGGCCCCCCCTTTACAGGCAGCGCGGCCCCAGCCCCGACCAGCCGCCGCCTCCCGGAGCCGGGTCACATGACCCCAGCGCCGCCACGTGACCGCCCCCCCGTCCCCGGCGTCACCCTCCAGCCCCCCTCCCCCATCGGGGGCTGCCCCCCGGCCCCGCCTCCAGCGCGTGGGGGAGCCCCCAGCCTGCGGGGGGGGCTGGGGAGGGGGGGAGCCCAACCTGCGCTTCGCCAGCAGTTAAGATGGCCGCCGTGGGACTTCAGCCAGACCTGACGGCCGGGATTGCCAGGACCCAACATGGCGGCCAGCCAGCGTCACTGCCCTTCCCGCGACCGGCCGGGATTGCCAGGGCCCAACATGGCGGCCAGCCAGCGTCACTGCCCTTCCCGCGACCGGCCGGGATTGCCAGGACCCAACATGGCGGCCAGCCAGCGTCACTGCCCTTCCCGCGACCGGCCGGGATTGCCAGGACCCAACATGGCGGCCAGCCAGCGTCACTGCCCTTCCCGCGACCGGCCGGGATTGCCAGGACCCAACATGGCGGCCAGCCAGCGTCACTGCCCTTCCCGCGACCGGCCGGGATTGCCAGGACCCAACATGGCGGCCAGCCAGCGTCACTGCCCTTCCCGCGACCGGCCGGGATTGCCAGGACCCAACATGGCGGCCCGTCAGCGCACCCGGACGGGGGATTGCCAGGACCCAACAGGCGGCCAGCCAGCGTAGCCCTTCCCGCGACCGGGGGATTGCCAGGATCCAACATGGCGGCCAGCCAGCGTCACTGCCCTTCCCGCGACCGGCCGGGATTGCCAGGACCCAACATGGCGGCCAGCCAGCGTCACTGCCCTCCGCGACCGGCGAGATTGCAGGGCCCAACATGTCGGCCAGCCAGCGTAGCCCCCCGCGACGGGGGGCAGGGCCAACAGCCAGCCAGCAATGCCCTTCCCGCGACCGGCCTTTACCCGCAGCAGCAGCGCCCCCACCCCCTAAGTCTCCCTGCCGTTGCCATGACTACCGTACAGCCCAGCGTGTCCCCAGGGCCCGGGCAGTAAAGCCCAGTATGGACCAGGCGGCCCTGGAGGGACCCGTCACACCCCGCCCAGCCCCGCGGGACCCTGGATCATCCCGTCCCACCGACAGGGCCCAGGGGGGCCCAGCCCAGCTGCCCCACGGGCCCCCTTCCCTGGGCTGGTCTGGGCCCAGCGGGGCCGATGCTGGGGGAGGGAGGCCCAGAGCTGCAGCTTTGGGCTGCGGGGGCGGGGGAAGCTGGGTTGGGGGGACTGCGGGGGCGGGGGAAGCTGGGTTGGGGGGACTGGGGGGAGGGGAAGCTGGGTTGGCGGGGCGGGGGGGCTCTTGTTTTTCATCTTGTCCCTTGTCCTGGCCACAAACCCACAGTTTCCTCTAGCTGCGTCCTGCCCCAGCTCTTGCAACAGGGCCTGAGTCACTGCAGGGGGGCAGGGTGCCACGAGGGGGGGTGCAGGGAGCTGGGGGTTGGAGGGGGTCAGGGGTTCAGAGGGCGCTGGGAGCTCCAGGGGGTGCAGGGAGCGGAGGGATTTGGGGTGCGCAGGGAGCCAGGCGGTTCGGAGGGCACAGGCATCCGGGGTCCCAGGGGTGTAGGGAGCCGGCGGGGAGGGGGGCGCAGGGAGGCGGGGGTTCGGGGAAGCAGGGGAGTGGGGGGCAGGGAGTGCAGGGAAGTGGGGGGTGCGGGGAGCCGAGGGGGGTGGGGGGGCGGGGTGTGCAGGGCAGTGGCTGTGGTTCCCTGTCCCGAGCGCATCACTTCCCTCCCTGGCTGCAGGGGAAGCTGCAGCCGCCCCCCAGCTCCCCAGGCCTGCCGAGCCCCGGGCCCCATGGAGCTGCTCCAGCGGCACCTGCCCGGGGTGCACCGCATCCTGCAGGGGGCGCTGGTGAGTCCCCCCCCATCCCGCCCGGGGGGTAGGGGTGGGGATCCCCTCCGAGGCTGTGGGTGGCAGGGCTGGAGGTGGAGGCTGCCGGGGACCGGGCGGGGTGCTGGGGACCAGAGGAAGGGGGGGACAGAAGGAGGGACAGGGCTGGGGGGGAGGGGGAGGAGGGGGGACGGGGAGGGGGGGCTGGGGCTAGAGGATGGGGGGCAGAAGGAGGGAAGGGTGGGGGGATGGGGGGCAGGAGGGGGCGGGGGCGGGGGGTGCTGGGGACCAGAGGGAAGGGGGGACAGAAGGAGGGACAGGGGGGGCTGGGGCGGATGGGGGGCAGGAGGCTGCCGGGGACCGGGCGGGGTGCTGGGGACCAGAGGAAGTGGGGGACAGAAGGAGGGACAGGGCTGGGGCGGATGGGGGGCAGGAGGGAGGCGGGGGCGGGCGGGGTGCTGGGGACCAGAGGAAGTGGGGGACAGAAGGAGGGACAGGGCTGGGGCGGATGGGGGGCAGGAGGGGGGGGGGGGGGGGGCGGGGTGCTGGGGACCAGAGGAAGTGGGGGACAGAAGGGGGGGGGGGGGGGGGATGGGGGGCAGGAGGGAGGCGGGGGCGGGCGGGGTGCTGGGGACGTGGGGCGAGAGGAAGTGGGGGGGACAGAAGGAGGGACAGGGCTGGGGCGGATGGGGGGATGGGGGGCAGGAGGGAGGCGGGGGCGGGCGGGGTGCTGGGGACCAGAGGAAGGGGGGGACAGAAGGAGGGACAGGGCTGGGGCGGATGGGGGGCAGGAGGGAGGCGGGGGCGGGCGGGGTGCTGGGGACCAGAGGAAGTGGGGGACAGAAGGAGGGACAGGGCTGGGGCGGATGGGGGGCAGGAGGCTGCCGGGGACCGGGCGGGGTGCTGGGGACCAGAGGAAGTGGGGGACAGAAGGAGGGACAGGGCTGGGGCGGATGGGGGGCAGGAGGGAGGCGGGGGCGGGCGGGGTGCTGGGGACCAGAGGAAGTGGGGGACAGAAGGAGGGACAGGGCTGGGGCGGATGGGGGGGCAGGAGGGAGCCGGGGACCGGGCGGGGTGCTGGGGACCAGAGGAAGTGGGGGACAGAAGGAGGGACAGGGCTGGGGCGGATGGGGGGCAGGAGGGAGGCGGGGGCGGGCGGGGTGCTGGGGACCAGAGGAAGTGGGGGAGAGAAGGAGGGACAGGGCTGGGGCGGATGGGGGGCAGGAGGGAGGCGGGGGCGGGCGGGGTGCTGGGGACCAGAGGAAGTGGGGGACAGAAGGAGGGACAGGGCTGGGGCGGATGGGGGGCAGGAGGGAGGCGGGGGCGGGCGGGGTGCTGGGGACCAGAGGAAGTGGGGGAGAGAAGGAGGGACAGGGCTGGGGTGGATGGGGGGCAGGAGGGAGGTGGGGGGTCCCAGGCATGGCAAGGGCTGGGGCAGTCTCGGGGGGGCCGTTCTGCACCCCGAAGGCCAGCCCCGCTCAGGCTCGTGCCTGCCCCCCAGGATTACGTCTCCAGCTTCTCCACCTACCTCTTCGGGGACCAGGCGCACCCGGGCGCAGAGGATCATCGGAGGAGCGGGGAGGTGGCCTCCCCCGGCCGCCCCAAGGGGGTGCCAGCAGGCGGCTATGGGGAAGGAGAGCCAGAGCATCATGGGTAACGAGAGTCCAGAGCAACAGGGGGTGGGGGCTGGGCCAAGGGGACCCCTCGCCCGGCGCTGGGTCACAGCCCCTCTGGGACGGGGGGCTGGGCCCACGGGGACCCCTCGCCCGGCGCTGGGTCACGGCCCCTCTGGGACGGGGGGCTGGGCCCACGGGGACCCCTCGCCCAGCACTGGGGCCCCACTGCCCCGGAGTCCCAGGCCTGGTGCTCCGGGGCGGCTCTGAATGAGGCTCGGCCAGGACTCGGGGGCAGAGCGATGCCCCGAGGGGCCCCCTGGGTCCGACCTCGGAGCATCCAGCCCCCCGTTCCCCCCGTGAGCTCCCTGCCCCCCGCTCGGCAGCCAGCCGGGACGCCCAGCCCACGTGTGACTCAGGAACCCAGCCTAGGACAGAGCTCGTTAGCTCAGACATGGGGGGGAGCCAGGGCCCTGCCCCAAACCAGGAGCCTGACCACTTTCCACGGGCCCAGTGTCCCCCCTGCTGTCCCTGGGCCAATGGGTCCCCTGGCCCCACCTCTTTGTTCGCCAGCCCCTGACCCGCCCCTTCCCTGCCAGGCGAGAGTGCGTGTGGGCCAGCGGGCACCCCCCTTCCTGCGCTTCCCCGGACTCTCCGCCCGCCGGGGCAACGGGAGGGTTATTAGACGACAGGAACACGGTCCAAACCAGAGCGTGTAGGTGCAGAGAACCGGACCCCTCAGTCGGGTCCGTCTTGGGGGGCAGGGAGCCCAGACCCTGGCGCTGGGCCTCCCTCCCTTTCCCCAGCCAGCCCCAAACTGGAACCCCGCAGAAGGTGTCACCTGGCCCCAACCCCCTCCTGGGCTCAGGTGACCTGCTCAGGTATCAGCCCCAAGTGAAGTGACCCCTGACATCCCAGCACCATCCAGCACGAATGCAGCCAGTCCCAGAGAAACTCCCCTGCCACATCCCCCGGTCAGTCCTCCCCCTCCCGGCTGCGTCCCATCTCCCCCCTTCGAGACTGAACTGAGCGGGGTCACACTGACCAGCGACCTGGGGAAGTTCGGGGCCCCCTCTCCGGGACAGCGCGTCCGCTATCAGGTTGGCCCTTCCCTTCACATGGACCACGTCCATGTTGTAATCCTGCAGGAGCAGGCTCCATCTCAGGAGTTTGGCGTTGGCTCCTCTCATCTGGTGCAGCCAGGTCAGGGGAGAGTGGTCGGTGTAGACGGTGAAGTGTAGCCCGAAGAGATAGGGCTCTAGTTTCTTGAGGGCCCACACCATGGCCAGGCACTCCTTCTCAATGGCCGCGTAGTGTTGCTCCCGGGGTAGCAACTTCTTGCTCAGGTACACGATGGGGTGTCTCTCCCCCTTTTCATCCTCCTGCATTAACACCGCCCCCAGTCCCGTGTCGGAGGCGTCGGTGAACACCACAAAGGGCTTGTCAAAGTCTGGGTTTGCCAGAACTGGGCCACGGACCAGAGCCTCCTGCCATATAACAGTTCGAAAGGCGAAAATCCGGTCGACTCCTGGGGCACCTCCCTGTACGCGAACAGCAGGTGAGGTAAGTACTTGTCCCAATCCTGCGGGTGCTGGTTCATAAAGGTTTTCAGCATCATCTTTAGCGTCCCGTTAAACCTCTCCACCAGCCCGTTGGACTGGGGGTGATAAGCTGAGGCCCAGTCGTGCCGGACCCCACATTTCTCCCACAAGCACCGGAGCAGGGCCGACATGAAGTTGGAGCCTTGGTCTGTCAAGACTTCCTTGGGGAACCCCACTCGGCTGAAAATGGTCAGGAGCGCATCGGCCACGGTGTCTGCTTCAATGGAAGCTAAGGGCACTGCCTCGGGGTAGCGGGTGGCAAAATCTACCACCACCAGAATGTATTTCTTCCCCGACCGGGTCGTCCTGCTGAGAGGCCCCACGATGTCCATGGCCACCTTCTGGAAAGGCTCCTCTATGATGGGCAAAGGTCTCAAAGCCGCTTTCCCCTTGTCCCGGGCCTTCCCCACCCTCTGACAGGGGTCACAGGATCGGCAATACTGCCGGACCGTGGTAAAGACCCCGGGCCAGTAAAAGTTCTGTAGCAACCTCTGCCGGGTGCGCCGGATTCCCTGGTGCCCTGCGAGGGGGATGTCATGGGCCAGGTACAGGAGCCTGCGGCGATACTTCTGGGGGACCAGCAGCTGCCTCCTGACCCCACAGGACTCTACTTCCCTTGTGGGAGCCCATTCTCGGTATAGGAACCCCTTCTCCCACAGGAACCTCTCCTGGCAGCCTCTCCTCATGGTCCGTCCCACACTGAGGTCGGCCAGGTCCCTGAGCTTCCGCAAGGAGGGATCTTTCCTCAACTCGGCCTGGAACTCAGCGGCTGGGGAAGGGACGGGGCCCGGTTCCCCCTCAGTGGACAGGTCTGAGGCCTCAGCCTCTCTGAGCCGTGCCCCTCAGCCCTCCCTCCCCACCAGGGTAGGGTCCTGCGCCTCCGGTGCGGTACCCTCCCCGAGGTCAGGGAGCAGTGCCCCTCGCCGGCTCTGGCTACGGGTCACAACCAGGGCGGTCTGGGGGTTGCTTGGCCAGTCCTCTAGATCTCCCCCCATCAAAACCTCAGTGGGCAAATGGTGATGTACCCCCACATCCTTGGGGCCCTCCTTGGCCCCCCATTTCAGGTGTACCCTTGCCACGGGCACCTTAAATGGGGTCCTGCCCACCCCTGTCAGGGTCAGGTAGGTGTTGGGCACCACCCGATCTGGGGCCACCACCTCGGGCCGGGCCAGCGTCACCTCCGCGCCCGTATCCCAGTATCCATTGACCTTCCTCCCATCCACCTCCAGGGGAACAAGGCACTCTCTCCGGAGGGACAGCCCCGCGCCCACCCTGTAAACCGAGCGCCCTGAGTCCAGAGCCTCCAGCCCTCTGGTGGAGCTGGCCTGGGGTACTCTTCCCTCCGGGGCAGGTGGTAAACTGGCAGCCCCCCCTTGCCTGGGCCATCTGCCTCCCCACTCCCTGCTGCATCGCGGCGTGGGCCCGCAGGGGGGCCCCGAACTTCCCCAGGTCACAGTGACCACGCTCAGTTCGGTCTCCAAGGGGGGAGAGATGTGGGGCGCAGCCGGGAGTGGGATGGACTGACCTGGGGGTGTCACAGGGGGGTTTTACTGGGACTGTCGGCATTGGGGATGGGATGGCGGGGGGGGCGTCACTGGAGGGACGATACCTGAGCCCGGGGGGGCCTGGGGCCAGGAGACACCTGCCCGGGGAACTGGACAAAGGCTGGGGGAGGCGGCTGGGGGGGCTGGGGGGAGTTTCAGTTTGGGGCTGGCTGGGGACATGGGGTGAAGGGCAGACGGGGTTGTCTGGCTCACTGCCCCCCCCCTCCCCAAAATGGACCCCCCACGCTCCGTGACAGCCCCATCTGATCCTTGCAGAGGATGGGTCCGGCCATCGGTTGCCAGGCCACGGACTGTGGCCTGTCTTCTCTGTCGCAGGCAGCCAGTCGCAGACACACCTGCCCGCTAGGGGTCGCTGCAACGATCACACACCCTCACCCCACGGCTGAGACACTTGAGTGACACACATGGGGAAACTGAGGCACACCCAATATTCAGAGAAAACATTAAGAAGCTTCCCACTTCATCACACGCTGCCCCGCTGGGGAAGGGCGGGGGTGGGGGGCTGGGCACGGGGGACCCCTCACCCGGCGATGGGACGCAGCCCCTCTGGGGCGGGGGGGCTGGGCACGGGGGACCCCTCGCTCACCCGGCAGGGGGGGCAGGTGCCGGGTCTCCAACGGGGCAAGCTTCACCTCTCTTTCTCCCCCGCAGGGAGGAGGTGCCAGGGGGGCAGCGTGAGGATGCTGGACCCTCGGCCCCACAGGTACGTTGGGGGCAGGTGCCTGGGCGCTTCCCCATTGGGGTTTGCCCCCCCTCACTGCTGTCTCTCCCCACAGGTGCCCCCAGATACCCAAGACCACACCCCCCAGGAGGGCCACACGGTGCTGAGGGGGTCCGGAGCCCGCCTGGGGTCTGTGTCAGACCAGGACATGCCCCACCCCCTCTGGTCATGTGAGTGGGGGCTGGCGGGTGCCAGGGGGGCAGAATGTTGGGGGCGGGGATGGAACATTGGGGGCTGAATGTTCTGGGGGGGTAGGGCCAGAATGTTGGGGGCTGGAAGGTTCTAGGGGGGTCAGCAGTGAAGGGGGGTGCTGGTGGGGATCGGGGTAGCTGTGGGGCAGGACAGGTGTGTCTGACCCATTCCCCCCCTTCTCTCCCCACAGGGCCGGGGCCTGTGAGCCTGGAGCCTAGATCTGGGGAGCTGACAGCCCCGGGGGGACGGGCACCGCCCCCCAGCCCCTCCCTCAGCCGGGAGCCCAGCCCCGCAGCCCGGCCCCCGGCCAGCGAGGAGGGGTGGGGAGGGGGGCGCAACATCTGGCAGGGGGGCCCGACGAAGGATGGGGAGGGGCCCGAGGAGGGGGGGGGGCCTCCAGGGGACCGGCAGCATCTGGCTGGAGGAGCAGGGGGAGCCTAGGGGGACCCCCTGTCTACAGGCTGAGAAGGAGGGGGGAACTTGGGGGGCCAGCCCCATGGAGGAGGGAGGCCTTTGGGGCAGTGACACTCAATGGGGCCCCAGGGCCGGCAGCCTCTGGCTGGAGGAGCAGGGGGAGGAGAGGGGCCGGGAGGGGGTGCCTAGGGGGAGCAGCCCCCAGCCGGGGACCCAGGGAGAAGGGGAAGAAGGGGAGTCCAGGGGGGTCAGCGCCCGGCTGGGGGGCCAGACAGGGGAGGGGCAGGGGGAGGGGGACCTCGGGGTGGGCAGCAGCTGGCTGGAGGCCCAGGGAGAGAAGGGAGGCAGCCAGGAGCTGGGGGCCCCCATAGGGGAGTGCGAGGAGGGGGACAGGGCTGTGGGGCCCCGAGGGGGCAGCCCCCAGGCAGAGAATGAGGAGGGGGGTCGAGAGGGAGAGGGGGACCCCCAGGGGTTCAGCATCTGGCTGGGGACTCAGGGGGCGTGTGAGGAGGGGGGAAGCATCTGGGTAGGGGAAGAGAAGGGGGAGGAGGAGCCCAGGAGGGAGGGGGGGCGAGGGGGGAACCCATAGGGGAGGAGTGGGAGGAGCCTGAGAGGGGGGGGGGGGGGGGAGGGCTGGGGGGGGGGAGGGGAGGGGAGTGCAGGGGGGAGGGGGAACCCCTAGGGAGTGGGGGAGGAAGGGGAGGGGGAGTGCAGGGGGGAGGAGGAGCCCATAGGGGTGGGGGAGGAAGGGGAGGGGGAGTGCAGGGGGGAGGGGGAACCCCTAGGGAGTGGGGGAGGAAGGGGAGGGGGAGTGCAGGGGGGGAGGAGGAGCCCATAGGGGTGGGGGGAGGAAGGGGAGGGGGAGTGCAGGGGGGAGGGGGAACCCCTAGGAGTGGGGGAGGAAGGGGAGGGGGAGTGCAGGGGGGAGGAGGAGCCCATAGGGGTGGGGGGAGGAAGGGGAGGGGGAGTGCAGGGGGGAGGAGGAGCCCATAGGGGTGGGGCAGGAGGGGGAGGGGGAGTGCAGGGGGGAGGAGGAGCCCAGGCGAGAGGGGGACGAGGGGGAACCCATAGGGGAGGAGTGGGAGGAGCCTGAGAGGGAGTGCAGGGGGGGAGGGGGAACCCCTAGGAGTGGGGGGAGGAAGGGGAGGGGGAGTGCAGGGGGGAGGGAGGAGCCCATAGGGGTGGGGGGAGGCAGGGGAGGGGGAGTGCAGGGGGGAGGAGGAGCCCATAGGGGTGGGGGGAGGAAGGGGAGGGGGAGTGCAGGGGGGAGGAGGAGCCCAGGCGAGAGGGGGACGAGGGGGAACCCATAGGGGAGGAGTGGGAGGAGCCTGAGAGGGAGTGCAGGGGGGAGGAGGAGCCCATAGGGGTGGGGGAGGAAGGGGAGGGGGAGTGCAGGGGGGGAGGAGGAGCCCATAGGGGTGGGGCAGGAGGGGGAGGGGGAGTGCAGGGGGGAGGAGGAGCCCAGGCGAGAGGGGGGCGAGGGGGAACCCATAGGGGAGGAGTGGGAGGAGCCTGAGAGGGAGTGCAGGGGGGAGGGGGGAGCCCTAGGGGTGGGGGAGGAAGGGGAGGGGGAGTGCAGGGGGGAGGAGGAGCCCATAGGGGTGGGGGAGGAAGGGGAGGGGGAGTGCAGGGGGGAGGGGGAGCCCAGGGGGAGGGGGAGGCAGGGGAGGGGAGTGCAGGGGGAGGGGGGGCCCATAGGGGTGGGGGGAGGCAGGGGAGGGGGAGTGCAGGGGGGAGGGGGAACCCCATAGGGGTGGGGGAGGAAGGGGAGGGGGAGTGCAGGGGGGGGAGGAGCCCATAGTGCTGGGGGAGGAAGGGGAGGGGGGGGAGGGGGGAGGGGGGAGGAGTGGGGGAGGCAGGGGAGGGGGAGTGCAGGGGGGAGGAGGAGCCCTAGGGGTGGGGAGGAGGGGGAGGGGGAGTGCAGGGGGGAGGGGGAGCCCATAGGGAGTGGGGGGAGGCAGGGGAGGGGGAGTGCAGGGGGGAGGGGGAACCCCTAGGAGTGGGGGAGGAAGGGGAGGGGGAGTGCAGGGGGGAGGAGGAGCCCATAGGGGTGGGGGAGGAAGGGGAGGGGGAGTGCAGGGGGGAGGAGGAGCCCATAGGAGTGGGGGAGGAAGGGGAGGGGGAGTGCAGGGGGGGAGGAGGAGCCCATAGGGCTGGGGGAGGAAAGGGAGGGGGAGTGCAGGGGGGGAGGGGGAACCCCTAGGAGTGGGAGAGGAAGGGGAGGGGGAGTGCAGGGGGGAGGAGGAGCCCATAGGAGTGGGAGAGGAAGGGGAGGGGGAGTGCAGGGGGGGGAGGAGCCCATAGGAGTGGGGCGGGAGGGGGAACCCGTAGGGTTGGCGAAGGAGGGGGAGCCCAGAGAGGAAGGGGAGAAGGGGGAGCCCAGGGGGGAGGGGGAACCCATAGGGTTGACGGAGGAGCGGGAGGGGGAGCTGACGGGGGAGGGGGAACCCCTAGGAGTGGGGGAGGAAGGGGAGGGGGAGCAAGGGGAGGGGGAACCTGTAGGGATGGGGGGGGAGGAGCTGAGGGCAGAGGGGGAACCCCTAGGGTTGGCAGAGGAGGGGGAGCTGAGGGGGGAGGGGGAACCCCTAGGAGTTGGGGAGCAGGGGGAGGGGGAAACCGATAGGGGAGGGGAGCCGAGAGGGGGCAGCCCCCAGCTGCAGACCCAGGGGGAGCAGGAAGAGGAGAGGCCAGAGGGGGGGCCCTGGGAGGGGGGGCCTGGGGGACTCAGGACCTGGGTAGGGGCCCAAGGGGAGGAGGGGGACCCCGAGGGGGACATCAGCCCACCAGGGGCCCCCATGGAGCAAGTGGGGGGTGAGGGGAGCAGCATCTGGCTGGGGACCCAGAGGGAGGGGGAAGGAGTGTGGGGGGGGAGCTGGCCCCACGGAGGGGTCCAGGGGGAGGGGAGCCCAAGGGGGGGCAGTAGTTGCCATGGGGCCCCCAGAAAGGGCTCAGAGGACCACCCCCCCCTCTGCCCTGTCCCCCAGCCCGACATCCCAGATGCTGCCCAGAGCCCCCTGCCGGAGCCGGGGGAGGTGAGTTGGGGGCTGCGAGGGATTTGGGGAGGGGGCCAGGGAAGCGGGGGCGGGGTCCTGTGCGTTGGGAGGGCCGTGGGAGGGGTCCCAGGGCGGGGGGCTGGGATAGGGGGAATGCATGGTCCGGGGTGGGACTGGGGCGGGAGCCCGCGCAGGGGCCAGTCGGGGGGGGTGCGAGGTCCTGGGGGCAGCAAGGGGCACTGCAGAGGCTGGCGGGGAGGGGGGCAGCGGGGGGTCCCCGGTGCAGAGCCCCCCCCTCACGTCTCCTCCCCCCAGGTCTCCCCCCTGGATGTGAGTGCCCAGCGGAGCCGGGTGCTGCTGCGAAGGAAGGGGTCGGTGCGCAGGGCACCCAGCCTCCGGGCCCAGAGACCCCCCGGGGGGGCCCTGCCTGAGACCCTGCCCCAGCCCCCCCAGGAGCCAGGCACCGCAGGGGGCTTCCTGCCCCCCATGCCCCACCAGCCACAGACCCCGAGGAGGCAGCTCCCAGGGCAGGCTGGGTAAGGATGGGCTAAGGAGGGAGAGGGGGTGGGTCACAGCGGGGGGGCGGGAGCCAGGACTCCTGGGTTCTATCCTAGCTCTGGGAAGGGGGGGTGGTCGGGTGGTTAGAGCAGGGGGGCTGGGAACCAGGACTCCTGGGTTCTCTCCCAGCTCGGGGAGGGGGGTGGTTAGAGTGGGGGTGGGGGAGTCAGGACTCCTGGGTTCTCTCCCAGCTCGGGGAGGGGGGTGATTAGAGTGGGGGCGGGGGAGCCAGGACTCCTGGGTTCTCTTCCTCCTTCTGGCCACTCCCCTCACCCCCTCCTGGTCTCTCTGCCCCACAGCTTCGGCCTCGCCCACCCCAACATGATGGCGGAGCTGAAGTTTCGTCTGCGCAGACCCCCACCCCAATGACGCTGCCCCACCCCTGTCAGCCGGGGACCCTGGGGTGGGCGGGGGCTCGTGCCATTTCCTGGGCAGGAAGAGAGGATGCCAGACAGAGTCCAGCCAGCACAGACAGCCCCCTCCCCCTCCCCGCAGCCTGGGATAGGACCCAGGTGTCCAGGCCCCCACCCCCACCCCACCGCTGTGTTTGGGAAACCTGGAATAAAGAAAACGGGAGCGAAAGGAGTCTGGGGCGTGGGGGGGCCGCGGCAGTGACTGTGGGGCCTACCCAAATCATACAAGCTGAAGGGGAGGCAGGTTCCTGGCAGCCCATGAGTTCCTGTAGGACCTACCAAAATAGCACCCAGTGGCTTCTGTTTACTTTGTGTATCAGTCAGCCCCAGGTTCCCAGAAAACCCCAGGGCGAAGGGGAATGAGGAGGGGCTGAATCAACTAGAAACGGAACGGAAAAGAGAAACCAGAATCGAGAGGTGATGGGGGGGGGGGAGAGAACCCAGGAGTCCTGGCTCCCACCCTGCCCCACTCCAACCACCAGACCCCACTCCCCTCCCAGAGCTGGGGGAGAACCCAGGAGTCCTGGCTGCGTGAAAACAACCAGACACTTAACATGAGTCACTTTATTACAAAAAATAAATACAAATCACATTTCTCGGTAATAAATAGCAAAAAAATAAATAATACATAAAAATCCACTCATATAAATTAACACAGGGACTGCTGGGAACCCGGACGCCTGGGTTCTCTCCCCGGCTCTGGCGGGGAGTGGGGATCTGGTGGGTTAGAGCAGCGGGGGCTGGGAGCCCGGACACCTGGGTTCTCTCCCTGACTCTGGGAGCAGCAGCGTGACCCAAGGGGGTTAGTGTTGTAGGGGGCGGGGTAAGGGGGCGGGGGGCTCAGCGAGGGGCCCACCCCCGCCCCATGTGCAGCAGGGTGAAATCCCGGACAACGCGGCCCAGGAAGGTCTCCATGGCACGCAGGACCAGGTACGACTCCTGCAGGTTGCTCCATTCGCTGGGGTGCTGCAGGATGCGGGGGGGCGCGGGGGGCGGCAGGTCGGGCTGGCCAGAGCCCCACACCTGGGGGGAGAGGGAGGAAGAGAGTGAGACACAGCACCAGCGGGCACCAGCCCCCCACGTTACCCCCTGCGGGCATCACACCTGGGTGCCAGCCCCCCGTGCCCTTCCCCATGGGCACCGAACCCGGCTCCCCCCCGCATTCCCCCGTGGGCACCGATCCCGGGCACCCCCTCACACTCCCTCATGGGCACCGAACCCGGCTCCCCCCCGCATTCCCCCGTGGGCACCGATCCCGGGCACCCCCTCACACTCCCTCATGGGCACCGAACCCGGCTCCCCCCCGCATTCCCCCGTGGGCACCGATCCCGGGCACCCCCTCACACTCCCTCATGGGCACCGAACCCGGCTCCCCCCCGCATTCCCCCGTGGGCACCGAACCCGGCTCCCCCCCGCATTCCCCCGTGGGCACCGAACCCGGGCACCCCCTCACACTCCCCCGTGGGCACCAAACCCGGCTCCCCCCCGCATTCCCCCGTGGGCACCGAACCCGGGCACCCCCTCCACACTCCCTCGTGGGCACCGAACCCGGCTCCCCCCTGCATTCCCCCGTGGGCACCGATCCCGGGCACCCCCTCACACTCCCTCGTGGGCACCGAACCCGGCTCCCCCCCGCATTCCCCCGTGGGCACCGAACCCGGGCACCCCCTCACACTCCCTCATGGGCACCGAACCCGGCTCCCCCCCGCATTCCCCTGTGGGCACCGAACCCGGGCACCCCCTCACGCTCCCTCATGGGCACCGAACCCGGGCACCCCCTCACACTCCCTCATGGGCACCGAACCCGGCTCCCCCCCGCATTCCCCCGTGGGCACCGAACCTGGGCACCGAACCCGGGCACCCCCCCTCACACTCCCCCGTGGGCACCGATCCCGGGCACCCCCTCACACTCCCCCGTGGGCACCGAACCCGGCTCCCCCGCATTCCCCCGTGGGCACCGAACCCGGGCACCCCCTCACACTCCCTCGTGGGCACCGAACCCGGCTCCCCCCCGCATTCCCCCGTGGGCACCGATCCCGGGCACCCCCTCACACTCCCTCGTGGGCACCGAACCTGGCTCCCCCCGCATTCCCCCGTGGGCACCGAACCCGGCTCCCCCGCATTCCCCCGTGGGCACCGAACCCGGCTCCCCCGCATTCCCCCGTGGGCACCGAACCCGGGTCCCCCCCGCATTCCCCCGTGGGCACCGAACCCGGCACCCCCCCGCATTCCCCCGTGGGCACCGAACCCGGGCACCCCCCCGCATTCCCCCGTGGGCACCGAACCCGGGCACCCCCCCCGCATTCCCCCGTGGGCACCGAACCCGGCTCCCCCCCGCATTCCCCCGTGGGCACCGAACCCGGGCACCCCCTCACACTCCCTCGTGGGCACCGAACCCGGCTCCCCCCCACATTCCCCCGTGGGCACCGAACCTGGGCACCGAACCCGGGCACCCCCTCACACTCCCTCGTGGGCACCGAACCCGGCTCCCCCCGCATTCCCCCGTGGGCACCCGAACCCGGGCACCCCCTCACACTCCCTCATGGGCACCGAACCCGGCTCCCCCCGCATTCCCCCGTGGGCACCGATCCCGGGCACCCCCTCCACACTCCCCCCGTGGGCACCGAACCCGGCTCCCCCCACATTCCCCCGTGGGCACCCGAACCCGGGCACCGAACCCGGGCACCCCCCCTCACCTCCCCCCATGGGCACTGAACCTGGGCACTGAACCAGAGCGCCCCCACATTCTGCCGTGGACACCGAACCCGGGCACCCTCCCTCACGGGCACCGAACCTGGCTCCCCCCACATTCCCCCGTGGGCACCGAACCCGGGCACTGAACCGGAGCGCCCCCCCCCCCGCATTCCCCCATGGGCACCGAACCCGGGCACCAAACCCAGGCACCCCCCTCACACTCCCTCATGGGCACTGAACCCGGGCGCCACCCCGGGAACTGCCCCCCTGCGTCTCCCCGGCCCCCGCTCCCCTCCAGCCCTCACCTGGTAATCGACGTGGTGCGTCAAGTCCCGCAGATCCAGGCTGATTTCCTCCAGCCCCTGAGCCAGGCCGGCGTCCCCCCGCTCCTGCTCCCTGCTCCCCAGAATCTCCATGTAGCCCCGAAACATCACCAGCGCCTGCCTCATCTCTCGCAGCCTCTGCAGCGCCTGGTGATGAAGGGCGGGGGGGATCAGTGCCACACTCAACCCTGCCACCGCTCCCCACCGCTCCCCAGCACCCCTCGAACACTGCCCCCCGCCCCCCCAGCCACTCACCGGCAGGGCCAGCCACTGCTGGGCTCTCAGGCTCATGGGGGGCAGGAGCCCCGACTTCGACAGGACGGGGAACGGCAGCTTGGCGCCGGCCAGGTGCTCTGACACCTGGCGGGGGAAGAGAGACTGTGAAACCAGGCGTCCGGGCCACCCTGCTCCGCCAGACTCCAGACTGTCCGAGGCGGCTGCCCCCACCACAGGGCCCCCCGCCCGTCCAGCCCTGGGCGAGGGGTGCCCAGCCCTGCCCCCAACCCAGGGGCCGCGTCCCAGTGCCGGGGAGGGTCCCGGGCGCCAGCCCTCACCCCGCCGGGCCGCGCGGTGCCGGGCAGGGGCCCGGCCCGCCCCGCCCCAGAGGGGCCGCGTCCCAGTGCCGGGCGAGGGGTCCCCGGGCGCCCAGCCCTCAACCCCGCCCCAGAGGGGCCGCGTCCCGGTGCCGGGCGAGGGGTCCCCGGGCACCCAGCCCCGCCCCAGAGGGGCCGCGTCCCAGTGCCGGGCGAGGGGTCCCCGGGCGCCCAGCCCTCAACCCCGCCCCAGAGGGGCCGCGTCCCGGTGCCGGGCGAGGGGTCCCCGGGCACCCAGCCCCGCCCCAGAGGGGCCGCGTCCCGGTGCCGGGCGAGGGGTCGATGTGGGCCCAGCCCCACCAGGACGTACAAAGAGTTGCATGAGGATTTTAGTTTCTGCCTGGAGTTTCCTTGCAAGTTTCAGGCTGCTCCTGAATTCCGCCTGCATTTCCTGGCCCCAGCTGGCGGCTCTGCCGGGCCCTGGGCCCTGCCCGGCCATGGGGAACCCCAGCACCGGGAGCCGGGAGCTCAGCAGCGTCTGGAGCAGCAGCATGAGTCCTGAGCGAGAGAGAGAGAGAGAGAGAGACATCAGCTTCCGAGTGAGAGCTGCCCAGCCAGGGCTGCGGGTCGGGAGTGAGGGGCACCGGCAGGGCTGGGGGGGCAGGGCTGGGCTGGCAGGGGGCTGTGGGTCGGGAGCGAGGGGCACCGGCCAAACTGGGGGGGCAGGGCTGGGCTGGCAGGGGGCTGCGGGTCGGGAGTGAGGGGCACCGGCAGGGCTGGGGGGCAGGGCTGGGCTGGCAGGGGGCTGTGGGTCGGGAGCGAGGGGCACCGGCCAAACTGGGGGGGCAGGGCTGGGCTGGCAGGGGGCTGCGGGTCGGGAGTGAGGGGCACGGCTGTGCGAGGAGGGGGCTGCAGGTCAGGAGTGAGGGGCACCGGCAGGGCTGGGCTGGCAGGGGCTGCGGGTCGGGAGTGAGAGGCACCGGCAGAGCTGGGGGGGCAGGGCTGGGGTAGCAGGGGCTGCGGGTCGGGAGTGAGGGGCACCGGCAGAGCTGGGGGGGCAGGGCTGGACTGACAGGGGGCTGCGGGTCGGGAGTGAGGGGCACCGGCAGAGCTGGGGGGGCAGGGCTGGGCTGGCAGGGGGCTGCGGGTCGGGAGTGAGGGGCACCGGCAGAGCTGGGGGGGCAGGGCTGGACTGACAGGGGGCTGCGGGTCGGGAGTGAGGGGCACCAGCAGAGCTGGGGGGGCAGGGCTGGGCTGGCAGGGGGCTGCGGGTTGGGAGTGAGGGGCACCGGCAGAGCTGGGGGGGCAGGGCTGGGGTAGCAGGGGCTGCGGGTCGGGAGTGAGGGGCACCGGCAGGGCTGGGGGCAGGGCTGGGCTAGCAGGGGCTGCGGGTCGGGAGTGAGGGGCACCAGCAGAGCTGGGGGGGCAGGGCTGGGGTAGCAGGGGCTGCGGGTCGGGAGTGAGGAGCACCGGCAGGGCTGGTGGGGGGAGGGCTGGGCTGGCAGGGGGCTGCGGGTCGGGAGTGAGGGGCACCGGCAGGGCTGGGGGCAGGGCTGGGCTAGCAGGGGCTGCGGGTCGGGAGTGAGGGGCACCAGCAGAGCTGGGGGGGCAGGGCTGGGGTAGCAGGGGCTGCGGGTCGGGAGTGAGGGGCACCGGCAGGGCTGGGGGGCAGGGCTGGGCTGGCAGGGGGCTGCGGGTTGGGAGTGAGGGGCACCGGCAGAGCTGGGGGGGCAGGGCTGGGCTGGCAGGGGGCTGCGGGTCGGGAGTGGGGGGCACCGCTGACCACGGCATGGTGACCCTGCGACGTTGCACACCGGGGATAGCCGGGGCTGGGCTTCTGTCCGCGCCGCATCACTAATTTTAGACTCAAAACTGCCCAAAATATCCCAAAGAGAAGACTTCC